ACACACACACGCACACACACACACACACACACATATGTGCATATGTATGTATATATATATATATATATACATACATTGTGCACGCCCAAACTGCCGTCGCCCCAGGCGTTCTCAGGTCGGCGGCCTGAGTGCATACATGAGAATGAAGGCGAAGCCCGTAGATATCACTACTTGTCCAGCCGATCGCTGCTGCACAGCGAGCTTCACAACAAACCAGGTGCACAGACTGGAGGCTGACGATCCGCTGACCACGGCGACTGAACGTTTTCCTCTGGCCGTAAGGCCTCTTAGGGCCACGGGGGGAAACACAGCGAACCGAGACGGCGAGAGGCCAGCACGCTGCATTGCACAACCCCCACTGTCGGGGGGGTCCTCTTGGGCCCCTCTTGGAACCCTCTTAGGCCGCTCTTGGGCCCCTCTTGGAACCCTTATAGGCCCCTCTTGGTCCCCTCTTGGGCCGCGCGAGCGGCCTTGAGCCAGGGGGGGTCACCCTAAAACGGGGCGGATGTTAGGGTGACCCTTCCAGCCCTTGAGCCACCCCTAATTCAATAGTTTCCGAATGCTCAACGAGGGCCCCAAGAGAAGCCCAAGAGGGCTACTCGAGTGCCCAGGGGGCCCACCAGAAAAGCTTGAATTCGAGGCGCGGGTGGGTCGCGAGCGGGTCGCGGGTGGGTGGGTCGCAGGTGGGTGGGTCGCGGGGTGGGTCGCGGGCGGATAGCTGGTGGGTCGCGGGCGGGTCGCAGGGTGGGTCGCGGGTGGGTCGCGGGCGGGTCGCGGGTGGGTCGCGGGGCGGGACGACGCCAAACAAAAAGCACACAACAACAACAACGACGACGACGACGACGACAACAACAACAACGACAACGACAACGACAACAACAACAACAACAACAATAACAACAACAACAACAACACCACCAACACCAACAACAACAACAACAACAACACCAACACCAACACCAACAACAACACCAACGCCAACAACAACAACACCACCAACACCACCAACACCAACACCAACAACAACAACACCAACACCAACACCAACAGCAACAACACCAACAGCAACAACAACAACAATAACACTTTGCATCGCGACATCCCAGTTTAGCCACGCACCCAGCACCGACGGAGCTGGGGGCGGCGCTCGAGAAGGCGGCCCAGGGCACAAGGCTCACACGTACTCATCGTGAAACAATGGTTGAGAATGGGGCCGCTGGCAGCAGCGACGGTGGAGGCGACGGATTGGCCCGCTAGCCTCCGACCAGTTCACTGAGCCTCGATGTGGTCGTGAGGAAAATCTGCTCGGGCGCCTTTGGGTCCAGTCCGACGCGCGGCAGCAGCGTCGCGCGGGAAGGGTGGTGGCGATTGTGGTGGTGGTTGTGGTGGTGTGATGGTGGCGGGGTGGTGCATGGGGGGGGGGGGAGGGGGGGCGCGGCGGCGCGCGCGCGCGTGTGCGTGTGCGTGTATGTTTGCGGGAGGGGGGGGGGGGGATGGTGGAGGGAGGGGGAGGGGACTTGGTGGTTGGGTCGGTGACGACGGTGGTGGCTGGTGGTGGTGGTGGCGGTGGTGGCGACTGGTGTTTTTTTTGGGGGGGGGGCATGCGCCTGGCCACTCCTGTGGCGTGCGGAACAGAATGTAGGAGGGATGACACGTATGTGGCATGTTTACTGGGGTGTCTATGTGATTACAATATGTAGATGTATGTGTATGCATATGTCTGTGGTGCACATGTATGTCATATATACATCGTTGGATGAGTATATACATATATGCATTCACGTATGGATCATACGGTATAGTTGTGAGTACGTGAAGGGGGGTACTTGCGTAACACATATATCAGAGTGAGGGGGCCGAACGGTCATTCACTGTCCCTGGCCGCGACGCACGAGCACGGGCATCCTGCAGCTGGGGCGCCATCGTGATGGGGCGTAGCACCGTCGCGCCCAAGACTGTCGGGGGGGACCCAACACAATCCCTGGGCGGTCCGCCGCAGGCTGTCAGGGGCTCCGACCAGCCCCATGGGCGTCAGGCCCCAGATTTTCGGTGGCCCCCACCCAGTCCCTGGCCGCCTGGGAGCCCCGTCCAGTCGGGTCGGGGACCCCGCCCTCCCCCACCACGGGACTTCCCCGAGCTCAGGGAGGGTCCCATCCGGTCCTTGGGCGTCCCGTCCCAGACTGCGGGGGTCTCGGGCCGGTCCCTGGGTGTCCTTTCGCAGACTGCAGGGGGGCCGCCCGCGCACGGGGCGTGCGCCAGGTCACCTTTTTCCTAACTTTTTCATAGCTTTTTGGACCTAGTGGAGACTGTTTTTCTGAAAAACGGCTCGGGCCGGGACAGGGGGGGCACTAGTGGCGCCCCCCAAGGGCTCGGGCCGGTCCCCTGGGGGCGCTGTTGGGCCCCCCCAGGGGGCCCGATCGGTCCTCGACGGGCACCCCCCCCCCTCCACCTCAGGGCGGGGGGCCCCCTAGCGGGGAGGGCCTGCAGGCGCGCCCCCAGAGCACCGTTTGGGCGCTCGGGGAAACCAGTAACCGCTCCCAAAGGCGCGCGAGCGGCATTTAAACGGCCTCCCCAGGGGCTCGCTCGGGCGCTAAAAAGATCCGACCAGACACACCCCAGCGGGCTTTCGCAGGCCCCGAGAGGGCCGCCTGGGGCCCACCAGGGGGCCCCAGGACCAGGAGAGCCCCAAGAGAGGCTTGAGCCAGCGCTGGATGATGACAACAATGATGAGGATGATGAGAATGATGATGGCGACGGTGACAGTAGATACGGCGACGAGGCCCCCAGATATATACTAAGACTGTAGGATTACTGGCGTGCTCTGCAGAGTTACCCTGGCATGCAGCATGACAGCCATGAAGGCAACCACATTGATGGTCAGGGTGAGCGTCGTAGAGTGGCAATGAGTATGCATGCTTGTGGGAGGTAGATGACGGCGCGAAGCAGGGCTACATAATAAGGAATGCGATCAATCATGCTACCTCAATCGCAGCACCCCGCAGTTGCTGATAAGAGTGCGGGGGCGAACGATTGAGGAAGGGGGGACGTGTGCCTCAGAAGCAGGTGGGAGGACGGAGGGAGGAGACGCGCGCCTCGGAGGGAGGAGGACGAGCGGCCCCCTGGCGTAAATCTATTCATAGATGTTCTCGCTCTTGGGCCCATCTTGGGTCCCTCGGCAGGCCTTCCTGGGGCCGTCTTGGGCCCTTCAGGAAGCTCCAGAGGGCCCCAAGAGGGGCCCAAGAGGGGCCCAAGAGACCCCAAGAGGGCCCCTAAGAGGGCCTTGAAAGGTCTCCAAGAGGGCCCCCTGACAGTGGCACCCAAGAGGGCCTTCTGGGTGCCACTGTCGGGGGGTCCTCTTGGGCCCCTCTTGGAACCCTTTTGGGCCCCTCTTGGTCCCCTCTTGGGCCGCGCGAGCGGCCTTGAGCCAGGGAGGGTCACCCTAACACGGTGCGGATTTTAGGGTGACCCTTCCAGCCCTTGAGCCACCCCTGGTTCAATATTTTCCGAATGCTCAAAGAGGGCCCCAAGAGGAGCCCAAGAGGGCTACTCGAGGCCCCAGGGGGCCCACCCGAAAATCTTCAATTCGAGGCGCGGGTGGGTCGCGGGTGGGTCGCGGGTGGGTGGGTCGCGGGTGGGTGGGTCGCGGGTGGGTCGAGGGTAGGTCGCGGGGTGGGTCACGGGCGGGTCGCGGGTGGGTCGCGGGTGGGTCGCAGGGCGGGTCGCGGGTGGGTCGCGGGCGGGTCGCGGGGCGGGACGACGCCAAACAACAAACAACAAACAACAAACAACAAAAACAACAACAACAACAACAACAACAACAACAACAACAACAACAACAACATCAACAACATCAACAACAACGACAACAACAGCAACAGCAACAACAACAACAACAACACCAACACCAACACCATCAACAACAACAACACCAACAGCAACAGCAACAGCAACAGCAACAACGACAATAACAACAGCAACAGCAACAACAACAACAGCAGCAACAATAACAACAACAGCAACAACAACAAACAACTGCAACAATAACCATCATCGCCAAATCCCACTTTAGCCACGCACCGAGGGACAGTGAATGACCGTTCGGCCCCCTCACTCTGATGAGCGTACAAATTGGGGGCCAATGGGGATACCTGATGCGGTAACACGGAGCATGCGGAGAGACGGGGTCAAGGGATTTGATGACGGAGTGCAATAAGCAGTGACAGGATGAGAGGGGGAAGGGTGGTACGGATGACGAGTTTGAGAAGAAACGCGGTGGACAAGGATATCACTGGGAGGGAAGGGGGGGCCACGAGGACCATGACTGCGGGAAAGGAACGGAACATGCTGGGAGACAGAATGGCGACCAGGGAAACGACGAATAGCGAGGATGTGGTAAAGAAGGGGCCCAACAACTCACCCTCCCCTCCTATCTCGCCGCCCCTCCTCCATCATGATCTCCTCCTCCCTCCCCTCCTCCTCTTCCTAATCCTCCTCCTCCTCCCTCCCCTCGTCCTCCTCCTAATATTCCTCCTCCTCCTCCTCCCCCTCCTCCTCCTACATCCTCCCTGGTACTGCTACCTCCTCGCCATCACCATTGGCCCAATGTGGGTTCGATGTTGTTTCCCATTATGGATGGGGATATAAACTTCAGTCCCAGGCTCAAGCCAATCCGTCTGGCTCGGAGTCCTCGCCATCCCTCTGGGGGCGCTCGTATGCTGTGATATCGGCGCCGCCTGGCATGACTCTGTGCGCATGCCTCGCTGCGCGGCGGGCTGCATGTGGGAGGGCTACAAGCATGTGAAGCGGGGCTTTGTGGGGAATGTTGCGGGCCAGCGCTTCTGGGCCCCAATCCAACCACGCCCAGATCGCGCCCATGGGGCGGCCCTGCGCGGCATTCCCATCCCGAGCCCTGCTGGTGCGGGTGAGCCTGCACGGCTTCCCTCCGATCCTAGGGCACACGTTGCACGATGCCTCGAAACGTTCGTACCGTGCATAGTACTTCACTGTGCCGTGCGGGTGAATGAAAAACGCATCTGCGTGCCCGCGATCTGCAAGGCCAACTGCGGGCCCTGGCGGAGGCGGGGGTGGAGGGGGCGGCCCTTCTGGCGACCCCCCCCCAGGCGGCGGCGCATCAGGAGGCGGGTCATTGGAGCCAGACCCCTGGCTTCCCCCAGCACCGCCACCGCCATCACCCCCATGAGGTTCGTGAGGGCCAACACCGTCTCCGCCGTCGTCGCTGACCACGTGCACGTCGCCCTCGTCGCCAGCCAGGGGCTCAGAATCACCGCCATCCGATAGAGAAAGAAAATCCCACCAGAAATCATCATCGAGAGATGCTGGTCCATCCTCGTGAACAAACGCGTCGACCAACGCGCGATGCTGGCAGTGCCCCCCTCGGCTGCGGCGGCAAGTTCGAATGCCTCGGGGATGCGGGGCCACTTCGAGCTTGCGCGCAGACAGCGGGCATATGCCAGAACACGTTGGTCGACGCATTCGGCGCCTCGGATGTCCTCGCTGTCCGCTTCAGCGGACGCCTCGTCGCTGCCCACGTCGTGCTCGAAATGGTCGCCCTCCTCGTCGCTCGCGCCGTCCCCGAACTCGTGGTCGTCGCCCTTGTCGTCCAGGTGCCCTGCATCATCTGCATCTCCATCGCCAAGCCCGTCCGTGTCGCCATGCATCCCACTAATGGGCTTCGTTGGGCCCCAGAACGGTAACGGGACAGGCTCGGTAACTAACCTCTTAACCAGTACGTCTCCTGGGCGAAAGTTGTCAACGATGCGCCCGCCCTCGCAAAGGACGTAGAACTCACACGCCCACGAAACATCCCGTGATAACGTGGCGAACGCGTCCCAGTCAACCAGCTTGGAGTCGGTAGCCTTGGCAGAACAACTAGTCGCATATCCCAATCTCGCCGCGGACCCACTACCCCCCACTGGGCGCATCAACAAAACATGATGCGATGAGTCGCCATTTTGAAACGACATTCCCGACTCGCACCAGACACATAAACAATACGACCTCTCGGGTGGGGGCTCGGGGATTTGCGGGCGTGGTGGGATTTGCGACCAGCGCGCTGCAACCTTGAGCAACACCTCCTCTACGCCAGAGCGCTCCTCCGCAGAGCAGAAGTCGAGGAAGCGGTAGGTGCCCCTGAAGGGGTCCAGGCTGTGGGCGCTGATGTGCCACCACACGTCCAGGACAGGCTGCGATTGCTCGCCGCACGCAGCGCGCCAAGGCGACTCCTCGAGCGGCGATTCGCCGACCAAGTGCAAGAACAGCTTTCGGCTGGCAAGAAGGTCTGCTCCCTCAGTGTTCTTCCTCGTTGGTAATTTAAGTAAGGCGTGGAAGCGAGCACGTAACTTGAGCAATCGCGTGCCTGCTGGGCCACACAAGCACCTGCCAACGGTATAGCACGGGGGCTTGATGGGCGCCTTCGGGGCCTTGCCGATGGGGCGGCACTCCTGATGCATGATCGGCTTGTGCAGCGATGTCCAAAACTCTTCCAAATACTTGTTCAGGTTCGAGGTGCTGGTAGAGTTCGACACCACTGCCGCGCTCGCGGCGGAGAGCTCGCACGGGTGCTTGACGGTGTAGACGTGTTGACGGCAGTTCGGAACCGCATCGATGGACTCCTTGCAGATCTCAAGGCCAGGCACGGTCTCGTAGAGCGTCTTCTCGGCGTCGATTTTCTGAATGCGTTGCCATTCGGTCAGGCACTTGAACGAGTCCTCATCGCACTTCTTCAGTGCCCTCAATTCAGACCGCAAAGTTGCACGAGCAGACTTGGAAATCTCTTTGAGGTCGAACTCCTCGGCGTATGACCGTCCAACCACAGCGCTGGCGATGGCGCTGTCACACAAGACTGCGGTGTCAACCACGGGGGCCTCGGACTGAATGGCGACGGCCCTCGACGCAAGGCCTTCCAGACGTTGCCTGTGCAGCGCGCGTTGGACGTCCTTGGCCCTGAGACCAAACGAGCTGCCAACTGCTGTACCATTAGCGCCATCCCGCCACTGCTCAGTAGCATGTTTGCCTACCACTCGAAGGTCGGCCAGTTCGGCTTCTGGTAGTTCACGGTACCTCCTCCCCAATTCTCGCAGGTCTGGACGCCCAGTCGAGTTGGCGCTCTCGCGCCGAACGAAAGCCCTCCAGGCTCCGCCGCCACCGCGCTTGCTCGACTGGCCACTGCCGTCATCATCTGGGTCGCAAGGGCCGCCCAGGTTGATGTGATGCGGCTCGCAGGTCGACTCCCACTCCTTCCCGAAACGCCTTGCCCTGTCCAGCATGTGTTCTGCGCTGAGCTCCGCGTGGCCCTCAGCGTGCGTCTGGTTGCCCTTGGCGAAGAGCCGCCGTCGCACTGCAGAGTGGGTTGCCTCCGCAGGTGCGATGTTCACCCCTGCTAAGTACGCATGGAGACGCAACTCTGCCCGAACCACATCGCCGTCAACGAAATCGGGGTCCTCGCGGTATCTCTCCAGGAATGCCCAGGACCAATCGTCGTACATGCAGGGGGGGAAACAAGTGATGTCTGAGGATTGGGCGCCGCCTAAGAGACGAAACATCTTCATCGGGAACGTGCTGTGGTGCAAGTCAAGGGTCTCCTGGATGAGGCAGTCTGCTGCTGAAAGGAGCCTGAACGCAAAGCCTCGGAGACTGAGCGTCTGTCTCTCGGGCGCGATCAAGTCGACCCAAAGAGCAGGGTGGTCCATGAGAAGCTTGACCCGAAGGTGGAAGGACGCCTCGAACTGTCCCATGGCGCTCTCGACGATTGGATACGCGCGCCCCTCTCCAGGTACACCCTCATTGGTACAACTCTGGGCAGCTGCAGCTTCCTGGCGATCTGCGTACGGAACTCCGCAATGTTCGAGGTGTTGCTTCAAGAGGTTTCGGAGCGGCTCCATAGTCTGACGGATCACCAGGGCACATCCCAAAGGGTCGCTTTGCAAGAATGTCGTAGCCAAGCGGCGATGCAGCGCGTGCTCTTCTCGATGCGCATTTGCCCGAGCTTGTTTGGAACTATCGTGCTTGTCGGCGTCGGGCTTGGGCACATTGGCGTCGCCCGAGCTGTCATACATGGGGGCGTCCATCACCGCGGCCAGGTGGAGGAGAGAAGCAGCTGCGTCATGCGGCACCGTCGGCGCGTTTGCGCCATCAAACTGCGAGGCAGCAAGGTCGCGCGCCTCTCGGCACCAGCGTTCCCACGCGGCCGATGCCAAGCCGTGGCACCCCTCCAGCAAGCAGAACTCGTCCCACGCTGAGTCGCTCCTGGTCCACTTGCTTCGATTGTATACTGTGAAGCGTGCCCCCACGAGGCATCTCGTCAACGACTCCGAGATGACCTCCTTCACGTAGTCCTCGTCGTACGTGGCGTTCTCTGGTAAGTACACCTCCACGCAGTCCCTCTTGCGCCAGTCACCGTTGGGGAGGTAAGCAAGCGAAAGCCTGCGGATAAGGACGCGGCTTCCACGAGAGCAACACAAGCGGAGAAGGTGACGACGACGTCGCACTGCCTCTTCGGGCGGGCGCCCTCGCCTGAGAAGACACGGCGGCTGCAACACCTGTGCTGGTCCGTCCCCCCCCCCCCCAGAGGGTACGTTTGCATTCAAGTATACTGTGTGCGGCATGCGTGGGCATTGGTATGGACACGATCACCCTCGCCAAAAACAAAACATCAAGAACAGCTCAAACAATGAGGCTGGGACCCAAACCTACAGCTGAAAACAAAGCCTGCTGGGCGGGAAGGGGGGCCAGAATCGATGGCTCGGTCGGGGCCACGCGACGGTCAACGGGGAGCCTGCACAAGCTTTACAGGCACCGATCGCCGAAACTGCATGCGAGCCTTCACGACCTTCTTGACGCACATGGCGAACCTCGTGAACCCCGTGCCCTCGTTGATGGAAAGAGCCAAATGTATTTGCCCCGAGATGAGGGCATCGCACAGCTTGAAAGTTTTTTTGTGGGCCAAGGCAACCAAGTGCACCTCGCAGAAGATGTGCAAACGCTGCCAGCCACCAGCAACCTCGTTCAGGTCCTTGAGGTACGCCCTCTCTGCCTTCTCGTTGGAAGCGGCCTTGTCAAGGCATGTCAACCTCGTCTTGCTCTTGAACTTTTCGCAGAATTGTGTGATGCTGCTCCGTTGGCACGTGGCCTCGCGCAGGACTTCCCCAGTGGTCCTGTCAAGAAGTTGAAGCCAAGTGCTAGAGCGACCCCAGCAAGCAGCGAGCTGACCATCTCGTCTGCGGAAAAGTACTCCCCACGAATCTCTTGATTGCAATATTTTGGCCGTCGTCTTCTCTCTTCCAGACATCGCTGGCATCCCTGGCATGGTCAGGGCCAGGGAAGTCGATGCCTCCGCAGGGTTGTGGGTGTGCTGGATGTTGTGATCATTCTGCCGCTGGAGGCCAAGCTTGAGCGACGTCTCGTCGTTCATGCTGGCGTCGATGTACACCAGTAGGTCGCAATCGTGCAAAGTTGTAGCCAACGTCGACTCCACGGCGAATCGAACACCCCTGTCGACGTGCACGACCATGCTCGCAGCGCGGTACAACGTGGACAAGATCTTCTTACGGTCTACCCCGAGGTTCGCAGCCAAAGAAACCTTGGAAGATACCCTGAAATCGACGTTGGCTCGGGAGCCGCTCTGCGCCAAGTAATGTCTCGCGACTTTGGTAGTTGTCTCGTCGCGACCTGCATTGTCCATGCGAATGTTCTGGATGACCTCCCGCACGCATGGTTCGAGAGGCCACTGTGTGCGAAGGCGGATGTCCATCTCCTGCACCCTGCTGATGGTCTCTGCTGGTACTGCTGGCGGAGGCGCAACGGCCATGGCTAGATCAGCAGGCCGTGGAACCACCAACGGGCGATCCCGTTCGCCATCACGTTTTGCAGCCTTGCACTCTCTTGCGTGCTTCAGTATGTCGTGCCTGTCACGAGTGGGTGGATGCTCTATGCCAACAACGCCAGCATCTCTCAAAGCTTCCTGGAACAAAGCACTTCTCCGAAATCGCCGCGGGCGCTTCCCAGGATGCTCTGCGTCGTGCTCGGCGCTGGGCTCGATCAGGAGGCCGCCCCACGGCACGTCGTCGTCGGCGTCGATCGGGGCAGCCGCGTCTCCGTCCAGGTGGCTCTCTGGGCGCTGATCACAGCGACTCTCTTGCAGCTCCTGTGCTGCAATCGACCATGGATCGTCGCCCATGCAAGGGCTGAATATGGAAGGATATGGAAGGAGGCAACTCCGAACAGCCACCGACGTGGCGAGTATGGCAATCATATTGCCGTGCACAACAAAGGGCCGCGCGGCCAGCGCGACGTTGGGCAAAAATGGCGGCGGCAGGATCGAGAGATCAGGCTTTCATCATTGCGTGTGTGTGTGCGTGCGTGCGTGCGTGTGCGTGTGTGTGTGTGTGGTGGCGTGTGTGTGTGCGTGTGTGTTTGTGTGTGTGTGGTGGCGTGTGTGTGTGTGTGTGTTTTTGTGTGTGTGTGTGTGCGTGCGTGTGTGTGTGTGTGTGTCGTGATGGTGGCGGTGGGGAAACAGGACTGCTGCACGTGCCGTTCAGGCGCCTGCAACAGTGGCCGCGCGCGGCTCTTCCAGGGGCTCTTCCAATGCAGCGGCGCAGCAGTTGGGGCATGAATGCCCACGGCACGAAACTGTCGTCGTTGCCGTCGTTCTCCCAAGAGCGCGCCAAGGGGGCCCAGGAGGCCGCCGAGAGGGCCCGAAGGGGCTTCGAGCCAGCCCAAGATCGCCCCAAGACGCACAATATGGACTCATGACGGCCCAGGATTCCTCCAATACGGCCCACGAGGGCCCCAAGAGGAGCTTTCAGGGGGCACGAATAACATCGCCCCGACCCCTTAAGGGCACGCATATGTTTACCGTGCGCCCCGTTTCGGTCTTCAATGCAAAGGAATGCCCCCAAACCCATGTGTCCACAGATTTGTTTCCTGTTCGGGGCCTCTCTTGGGGCCGCATTGGGGGCGCATGTTGGGGCCCACGTGCACCCATCGCGGGCATCGCCCGCCCGCGCGCATTGCAATGCATCCCCCCCAAAATGATACAAGGGACGCCCTACGAGGCGTCGGTCGGAAACATTGGTTTTGGGGGTCTTCCCATCGCACCTCCGCCACCAGCACCCACCCACCCCCTGCGCACGCCGTCGCCCCTCCTCCCTCCCACCCCCCCCCCCCGCGCGCACACACGCGCACGCGCGCACACGCACGCACACACACACACACGCACACACACACACACACACGCACACGCACGCACACGCACCCACACACACACACACAACCCGCCCACCCACCCAACCACGCCCACACCGTCGTCGCGCTGCCCGCTCCCCATCATTACGCCCCCCCCCCGCCGCTCCCCCCCCCACGAATTGTCGCTACGCCCCACACCCTATACCCCCTTCCTCCCCCGCCCACCCACCACACACACACACACACACACACGTACCACCACCCCACCCTTGTGTCGCTACGCCCCCTCGTCGTTGCGCCCACGCCCACCGTTGTCAAAAGACTCCGCCCACCCCTCGCTGTCGTTCGCGCCCCCCTCCCCTCCCCCCAATTGCCACCGCCGTCGTCCTGGCGCCCTCCACGCGTCGTCGCTGCGTTTCCCACCCGCGTCGTTACGACCCCCCCACCCGCCGTCGTTATGCCCCACCACCCACCCTCGTCACGCCCCCATCGCCCATCGTCGTTGCGCCTCACGCGCCGTGGTTACGCCACCCGCTCGCGCGGAGTGCGAATCTCATGAGATGCTGTCGGCATCGGAATTCGCGACTGTCGTACCCCTCTCGTACTCCTAAGGGCGCGAGCTCACAGAAAGCCCTCACCACTTCCCAACGAACTTTTTCCTTTGTTTTGTTCGACCGTGCCCTGGGAACTTTTTTCTAGGTTTTGGAGCCCTCAGGGTACGCTCCATAGAAATAGCCCTGTAGGAGGCCACGGTCCTCATAAGGCTGGAACTGAGTAATACTGCCAGCGTGCAGGTACGCAAGGCGTCGGAAACGTCAGGTAGTCGGGAAGAACGACGACCAGGGACAGAAACCGAGAAATTAATGCAAGGGCGCAAGACACGGGTGGTGGGGATATTTTTTTGGTCGCGGCCACGAGACAAGGGTCAGGCGGCGAAAGCAAAGTCCGGGGCGCGAACGAGGCTAATTAGCTACAACAGGCACAGGCCGGCCGGCCCACTCACAAAGCAGCCGCGAAACTGAAGGAGAGCTGACGGCGGGCGGCATCCTGAGAGCTCGAGTACACGCACAGGACAAAGTGTCACGGAATTCGGTGCCTGCCATGGCACGACCCACGCAGTAGAGACGTGAACCAGGATGGCCAAGTCCGTCGTGCTGAGTGGGGGCAAGTGGGAGGCCATTGGAGTGAAGCGCCAATGGGGCGCCAGGCTCCAAACGCCCTGACGACTTGAGCTAGCCCGAAAGGCTGAGCTGTCGCGAACCGTGGTGCAACGCAACTGGGGAAAGCTGATGGTGAGC